AGTGGTTGACAGAAATGACTCTTTATGTAAATTATGTTAATTTAAGTAGGCTTACAAAGACACAATGGAAAGTTTGGCAAAGGAATTGTATTTTTATGTTTGTGTATATTTTAGTTTAATTTTTTAATGACAGTAAAAAGAATGATGCAAGTGTGTGGTTAAAGAAGATGATGTAAATGCTGATAGTGAGCAGACATCTCAACGGGGGAAAAAGACAGAAAAAGGGGAAAATAAGAGCAGCAGTATGAGGTCAGACTCTTAAGGCGGTGAACACACTTCCTGTGTTAATATTTGCATCTCTATGACAACTTTGGGATGCAGGCTTTGTAGCTATGCATGTACTGTAGAGAGCACAGGTTGTCATAGCAACGAATGCACACAACTAAAATGTATTTCTTACCATGGGCATAATGTAGGCTGTATACCACCTTCAGGGAAAATATGTATTCATACAACTGAAGAAACATCAATAAATGTCACATATCTCTCTCATACATATACAGTACAGTATCTGAGATGGATTTACAGTAACATTTAAAAGTTTGGGATCAGTAAGATTTTTTATTTATATATTTTATTTTTGTAAGGAATTAATTTAAAAGTAGCAGTACATAAGGCTTCTTTTTAGGGATGCACCGATACCGGGGCCCGATACTGGTCTCCTGTACTCGTTAAAATGCCCCGATACCAATCGCCGATACCACACAGCATGTGTTAAGCGCCATATTCAAACAAAGAAACACCGACAACAGAACAACAGACAGCAGAAAGGAGGTAAGGATGTCTACTACGAAGTATTGGTATCGTCAGTATCGGCAAGTACCAAAAATAAAAGTATCGGTATCGGGCGAGTACTGGAAAAAGTGGTATCGGTGCATCCCTACTTCTGTTTCAAATAAATGTTATTCTTTTGAACTTTCTATTGATCAAAGAAATATATCTTGGTTTACACAAAAATATTAAGCAACACAACTGTTCTCAACATTGATAATTTAAATTGTAATAATATTTCACAATATTACTGTTTTTACTGTATTTTAATCAAATAATTAATTAAATAATTATGAGCATAATAGACTTATTTTAAAAACATTAAAAAGACTTACCAACCCCAAACTTTTGAATGGTATTATTCAACTTTATTATTCTATACGACCAAATTGCATTTAAATATCTTCTACACGCCTCCATCATCACAGCTGGAAATCAGTCCATTTATTGTTCCTCTTTCTCCTAATGTCTATTAGGAGCGATTTCAGGTGAGAAACCCTCCCTCGGCTTATCTGAATAAAATCAAGAGCTTCTACCAGGACCAGGGTGGAGTGGCACGCAGGGTCAGTACCGTCACTCTCTTTCTGTTCTTTCCCTCACCACCTCCTTATACTCTCATTTCTCTTTTACCCATATCTGTGCTGACTGCTGACACCCACCTGCCCAAATGAAAACTCAGTTTAGAGTCTCAATGTGAAGTAAATGATTGTCTGTCAGTCAGCCAGTCAGCTTACCTCTGTGATTCCTTCTCCACAGTTCAAGAAACGTGTGCAGGAGTCAACTCAAGTCCTGAGAGAGCTGGAGATCTCGCTGAGAACCAATCACGTTGGGTTAGTGGCAGCTTTATTTTTCTTGTGCAATGCAAAGATCACTGCTTCACTTCACTGCTACTCCTGAATAAAAGAAAAGATAATTTTGCACCTGAATAATAGAAAACTTCCATAGATACATATCATGATATTCCTTTTATACTCTATAGGTGGGCTCAGGAGTTTCTGAACGAGGAAAACCAAGGCTTGGATGTCCTGGTGGACTACTTATCATATGCTCAAAGTGATGTGCCGTATGTTTATTGTCATTTCTAACATTTTCCATCAACACCATTACTGTCGTCTAATGCAGTACTTGTCCAAAAAGGTTTTATGAGTAAATCCTAGATTTTGACAAGAAGTAACTACAATTCACTCGCCATATTAAAAATAAAGGTTCCAAAAGGAGTTTTTGCAGTGATGCCATAGAAGGACAATTTTTGGTTCCCTAAAAAACCTTTCAGTTAATATCCCCCACCCCCTCACTGCATGGTTCCATCCCGTCCTACGCAGCCTACAGATCAGATGGTAAACTGTCAAATTAGAGATGTCTTCGAGTTTGACGAAGATGTTAGTCCAGTCATCAAAAGATCTAAATATTTGTGGATTGGAAACAAATGGAAAATTGACAAGCTTTTGCTGCAATTCTATGGATGTTTTGCCCGACAGGTCTTCAAGCCAGTCACATGACTGAAAACTATGAATTGATGCCTCTAAATTTGATAATGCTCAACACCACTGGTTCGAAGCGCTGTCACTGCTTTGTAAAGCCTATTTATCATGCCAGTAAAGCTACTGGAATCTCAATTTACCAGTTGCTGATTGCGATGCAGATTTTTTTCAAATAGGATACACACATCTCAACCACAGAACCTCTCTGTTCAGGGTAAAATATTGCCCTGGTCACACTGAGCCAATATTTATTCTGATGACTTTCGTGTTACTGATCACGCTGTAGCTAGTATGAGTAGCCTAACA